ATCATCAGGAGCAGGGGACGTGCACTGAGGCGGAGGGGATGTGCTGGAGAAAGAGTCCTGTTCTTCTTCTGCTGTATATTTACACCAATTGCTGCCCTACAGACCCTTCCAGATAAAATATCTTGCGGGGGGAGAGTGCTGTGACCAACAGGCCAACCAGATAGTGCCCCCATAGACTGGGGCACTTATTTCCCACTCGGGCAACGATGCTGTTGAGACAACTAAGTGGTCCGACTAGTACCACATAAGCTGTATCACACTCAAAGCTCTATGGTGATTTCCTTGATATATGCTCTAAATTTAATTTCATGTAATACATCTCATAAAATCCGTGTTTAAAAATATCCTGCCATTTCATCATCCTGCTGTCAAACCTGAGCCTCTGCGTTTTTTAATAAGAAAGCACACTGCTGGCAGTAATACCGCAACGAGAGTCCAGAACACTATGCCAGTGCGCTGGAATTTCTCAGAGGTGCAGTTTTATGCAACAAATGTGTTTGCAGAACCCGAGGGGGTAGAAACAACCACAGGAAAATGAAAGATTAAAATTCTTAATACAAGAAGCATTATAAATTGGAAGCATTGATTGATGCACGCTTATGATCATTAGCTGATTTTTTTTTAATTGTGGAAGATAATAAAAGTTAAAAATGAAAGAAAGAGAACTATGTGAGTATTGAGGAAGCATATTGGATTTATCTGCTGTTCCTGAGTTGGGGACATAACTAGGGCAGGTAGCAGTTATTGAACAAGTCCATTGGGGACAGTCGCGGCAGGGATTGTGGGTCAAAACTCTGTTGTCATGTGCCATCTATCTATGGTCCTGTCTGTGTATACTGTCTGTCAGTGGTGATGAACTCTCCAGAAGATCTCAGGGGTTGTAGCTCAAATTATAGTATCGTAAAGATGTACAACATGATAGCAGAAGAAATGAAGAGCTTAATGTCCCTTTTGAGTGCCTGCTCAGTTATAAGAACGACTTGTGACACTTATTGTTATGTATTGAAATAGAAGAAAAAGATATATATCATTGATCCTAAACTGAAGTGGAGCTATAGACTCAGCACATTTAATAGTTCGGCCAGGAACATAGATAGTAAATGGCAAAGCAGTGTTTTCACAAGTGTCACTTTTATTTGGAAATGGGTGGGGTCTTTAAATTACTTTGAATACTATCATAAGAGTATAGTATAATTCTTTCATGAGAATATTTTAACATAATTTAAGAGTACTTAACATACTTTAAGAGTAATAAATTACTCAACTCAAGCTTTCTTCAACAACAAAAGGGATTTGCACTCCAGGGTGATACCCACAAAGGGTCGGATGGGTCCAGCTACATGGAGATCATACAGGCCTAGCTTCCCTGACCCTCAGTATCTCTCTGGGCTGATAGCTCTTGCTCATGGCTCCCACAGCACCCGTGACCTTCAGGGGCCGCAGGCTTCCTCATATATGGAGGAGAAGGAGACGGAGGCAGAGAGAGAGAGAGAGAGAGAGAAGGAGGAAAAGAGCCTCCCTTCCTTCCCTCCCTCCCTCCCTCCCTCCCTCCCTTTCTCCTTCCTTCCTTCCTTCCTTCCTTCCTTCCTTCCTTCCTTCCTTCCTTCCTTCCTTCCTTCCTTTCTTTCTTTCTTTCTTTCTTTCTTTCTTTCTTTCTTTCTTTCTTTCTCTCTCTCTCTCTTTCTTTATTTCTCTCTTTCTTTCTTTCTTTTCTCTTGATAGAGTCTTGCTCTGTCACCCAGGCTGGAGTGCCCTTCCTTCCTTCCCTCCCTCCTTCTTTCTTTCTTTCTTTCTTTCTCTCTCTCTCTCTCTCTCTCTCTCTCTCTCTCTCTCTCTCTCTCTCTCTCTCTGTCTTTCTTTCTTTCTTTCTTTCTTCCTTTCTTCCTTTTCTTTCGACAGAGTCTTGCTCTGTCACCCAGGCTGGAGTGCAATGGCATGATCTTGGCTCACTGCAACCTCTCCCTCCCAGGTTCAAGTGATTCTCCTGCCTCAGCCTCCTGAGTAGCTGAGATTACAGGCACAGGACACCGCACCCAGATTACTTTCGTATTTTTAGTAGAGACAGGGTTTCGCCATGTTGGCCAGGCTGGTCTCGAACTCCTGAACCCAAGTGATCCACCCCGTCAGCCTTCCAAAGTGCTGGGATTATAGGAGTGAGCCACCAGACCCAGCCGTGTATTATGTTGATAAACAGTTTAAACTTAAACTTGATGCCTCATGTTTCAACCAGGTTCTCAACCTCAATGTTTCAACCAGGTTCTCAACCTCAATGTTTCAACCAGGTTCTCAACCTCAATGTTTCAACCAGGTTCTCAACCTCAATGTTTCAACCAGGTTCTCAACCTCAATGTTTCAACCAGGTTCTCAACCTCAATGTTTCAACCAGGTTCTCTCAACCTCAATGTTTCAACCAGGTTCTCAACCTCAATGTTTCAACCAGGTTCTCAACCTCAATGTTTCAACCAGGTTCTCAACCTCAATGTTTCAACCAGGTTCTCAGAAGCAAATGGACTACACAGAGCTGGGGTAAAAGAACGTGGAAACTCTAGTGTAAATTGGAATAGATATCAGAAAAGAAATGAATATTGAAGAAGCAACCACAGGGTCCAAAATAATAAAACCAGAAGGTGATGTCCTTATATTGGTACTTGTAGTAAGGAACAGGAAAAAGGGTGTTCATTATGACAAACTCTGTCATTATTCTGATCAATAAAATAAGTTCATACCCAATGAAAACAGAAATTGAAAAATAAAAAAAATCGAAATTGCCATTAATCTCTGTGCTCAGAGAAAGTCACATGTTTTTTTTGTGTGTCTTTCTCTTCCGTCTGGAGTATGTGTATATTATGTAATTATTTAAAACACTAACTCTTGGCTGTGTTGATGTGTCTTAGCTTTTATATTACAATTTCATTAACATTGTAACTTACCTTTATAATTTTTTTTTCCTAATCCCTTCAACTAAACTTGCTTTATTTTGTTTCCTTCTTCTTTCCTCAGTAATATAAAGTTTTATGGCCATAACTTTGTTATTGTTGTTGTTTTGCTGTACTCAATTATAGAGAATTCTAATTGCTTTTTTTTTTAGTTTTGATTTCCCATTTATCCAACCACTAACCGAATGTTTTACAATATTTAACCACTAGAAGTTTTATTTGACTTTTTTAGTAATAATAACTTTTATTATTATTATTTTGCTTCCGTGTGTCTTGATTACCAGTTTCTTCTTCATCTGTGAAAAATAATATTACTCATTCCTCCAAAAAGTACATTACAGTACTAAGACATTACACATAAACTAAATGCATTCAGGTCAGCTTTAATCAGAATTATAAAGTCAGCAACATAAGAAATAAAATGCAAAATCATGCAAATTTCAACATTTTCAAAAAGCATGGCCCTCATTGTTTAAAAAAAGTGTTGGCTCGAACACCATTTTCCTGCGGAGATTATCATCCCTGCTTTGACCCCCGTCTGGATTCACCTGCAGGGAGCATCCTTCCTCCTTTTTCTTGACTGATGCAATTTTCCACATAGTTGGTATATTCCCCAGGCCATTTTAATAAGAGGAAGTTCATACACTCACATATATGTCACCATTTGACTGAGAGCCCCTTATGTTTGTTTGTGACAAATTACTGTCAGTCAGTACATGGACAATTTATGGTGGTGATGAGAACAAACCTGGGAAGGATAAGGCTTGAGGTTTACAAAGTAAACTCAGCTAATGTTGGTTCTGACTAATAAATCAACATCTAATGGTCCACTATCAAATACTAATTAATTCTTTCTTTCCTTCCTCATATTAATTTAGTGTCATTCCAAGTCTTCGGGGGAAATAGTTCGCAGCTTGAAGCAAGAACGCTCTTATGCCTTGCCAGATGATTTTATTAATTGCAGTAAGTGCAGTGGCGTTGGACACCCAAATTTAGAAATGAAAGATGACTTTGGAAGACAATTCTCCCCTTCGGCAAGTATGATATTTTAGGATCTCAATAAATCCTTTTGAACCTAATAGAAGTGATTTTCTCATATCTTTTTTGGTACTCAGATATTCTGGTAATCCAATACTAGAACCCTTATATATCAACATTCGTATAAAAGCAACTTCGAAATACAAAATAAAATAAATTCAACAAGTTTGTTCAGAACCCTGGTCACAATAAGATATTTCACTCTGATGACAAAGTCTATATTTGCACCTAACTGATATTCAGAGGGGGCTAAAATACCCATTTAACCATTTAAAATTCTGATAGTCAGCTGAATCTTGTATGTGCAATTATATGTTTTAGGTATTTTAATTTATTCTTAGTTTAATAATTTAAAAGATCATCTGTAAATTAGATGAAAGAATCCTTTCCTTGGGGGGGAGGGGGAGAGGGTCTCACTCTGTCATCCAGGCTGGAATGCAGTCAACCCTCACTGCAGCCTCGACCTCCCAGAATCAGCTGATCCTCCCACCTCCGCCTCCTGAGTAGCTGGGACCACAGGAATGCACCGTCAAGTCCAGCTATTTTTTTATTTTTTATTTTTTTGTAGAAAAGGGTTTTTGTCATGTTGCCATGGCTAATCTGGATCTCCTGGGCTCAAGTGCTCCACCTGCCTTGGCCTCCCAAAGTGCTAGGATTACAGGTGTGAGCCACTGTGCCCAAGCCCGATGGAATCTTTTTCAAATAATATGATATGGTGAGGAATTAAATAGAAAGTCACAGTACTGTGCAGCTTTGAGGGCTGATAAGTGCTAGGAAGCAATTGCACTTTGCACGTTCATTAGATTTTGTGCCAGGCAGAAAATGTGGACACAGATATACTTCTCCTACTTTCCTCTGTGTATGTTATAGAGGATGACAGTAAGTGGTAGAGTGGATTGAAGACCCTCGTGCGCTAAGTCTTGCTCACATGCCCATGCACATCTACAGTAATACAGGCCCTCTGACCCCCTGGACTCAACACTAGGAGTTGGGGAGGGATTGCCTCCATGGAAAGGCATAGCTTACTCCAATATCTTCAGTCAGCAACAGAAGAGCTGTGGCTTGTTCAATCTTCCCAAACACTAGCTTTTGGGCATGTTGATATTTCAATCGTCTTTTCAGACAGTTCAGAATTTTAGGAGTGCATGAAAGTTCTTTGACATCACAATGTGATGAAAGCACCCTTTACTTCAGTCTCTTTCAAAATGTGGAATGAACTGGGGAGTTCCCAGGGTCTGCTCTTCCCGTGGGCAGTGGAAGAGAGTCATCCTGTTCAAGGCTGGTTCAGCCCCCAGCTCAGCTCAGGAGCGCTGGCTCCTGATGGAATGGTGAACCAGGGTGAAAACGAGGACATGGAATAAGGCTGCAGAAACTGCGTGCTGAAGGGTACACAGTTGTTTGGGGAAACTGTACTATTTCGGCATTGCCAGATCGGCAGCGTGGCATTTACTGCATGGTAAGAATTAAAGCACCTTTCAAATCTCTTAAAATTTGGGGAGGGAAAAAACACACCTACTCAGCAAATCGGGCTCAATGTGTGTAAAGCTCAGAGAATGATCCACGGTTATAAAAGCTACTGGCAAGGGTCACCATGCCTCTTAAATGACAAGCTGTGAAGGTCACTGTAGGCATTCGTGTTGCTTGAAACCGCTCACTTTAAGACTAGATGTTCAAACAAATCAATTCTGTTAGAAACCTTGGCAAAGACTGGGAAAAGCATAAAGCCCAGATCAATCTTTCCTTTAGGCTGTATTTCAGATTGTTGAACGTAAGACTATACGAAAATGTTTCCCCTTTCCCCTTTTTAGTGTCTGTTTTATGAGAAAAGTAGAACTTAAGAGTTCCCCAGACATTATACGGAACTATATATATTGGGTGCATGTGTCATTACCTCTAAGTACCCATAGACATTTTTACTTAGCAACATTTTCATGTTTTCTAAAATTCCTACAATTATACATGTCAAAACAATTCTTCTTATTTCTTAAGGGAGTTCTCTCTAAATCTAAAGGTATTAAGAAAATGTTAGTATTTCCAGCAACTGTGGTTTATATTAAAAATAAGGGCTCCAGGGGAAAAAACTGAGCTCAGAAGGTCTCTATCTCATGACTTTAAGCTACATTTAGGAAGCAATATATAAAATACGTCGTAAAAATTTCTAGCACTTTTTTGGGTTTTTGTGTAGCACTTAGCACTACACGCCAGTAGTAGATATGTTTATGTCCCTATCATTTTCTCTACGAGTGTGTAGGGGCTTACAGTCAGTCTTTGATTCATTCTCTTTCTATCCCTCCTAAAGCAGTTTTCAAACAGTATGTTCCTTCATGTTAACAAGAGGAATAAAGAACCTCTGTTCATATAAGCACAGAAAAACTGAGCTAACAAAATTTTAAATAGTTTTTTTTTAAATTAGTATCCACTGACTCTTCAAAAGTTGGATAAATTCTGATGTAAACCCTAACCTTATTTGATTGCCTGTTAATGTGTCTTACCATTGCCACAATAAAGATACAGAATATTTCCTCCACTCCACAAAGACTACTCTCTGCTCTCTGCAATCACATTCTTCCCCTTCCCCAAGCCCAGTGAGTCCTTCCTCGCTCTGTCCTGTGGGCATATGGAATAGTATTGCCATTTTTAGAATGTAATACTGATGGAATTACAGAGCATTCTCTTTTGTACTCATCTTTCTTCGCTGAGAAAAATGTTTTTGAGATACTTGTCATTGATAAAAACAAGACATTAGCTTTTTATCACTGAATACTCTTCTACGGTGTGAAGACCTCACAATTGATTGAGCTATTCCTCTATAATAGTAACTGGGCATGTAGATAGATTTCAGTTTCCACTGGCATTTAGTAACATTAAGTATTAATCTTCTAGTAAGCATAAAACTATTACAAATAAAGCATTTATGTACTAGCCTTTTTTGACTGAATTTTCTATTCTTTTTTTTTTTTTCAGTAAATGACAAGGGGTAGAATTATTGAGTAATGTACTAACTGTATGTTAATCCAGTTTCTAAATCGTCTTTCATTCCCACAAGCAATGTGTGAGATTTCCAGGGCCATGTCTTCATCTTTTGATTTTACTCATTCTATAGTGTTTGGATTTTTTTATTTCAGAAACTCTATTTTTTACTTCTAGAATTTCCATGTGATCCTACTTTTTGATTTCTACTCCATCCATACTTCTTTTTTCTTATTCATTGGAATAATGTTTTGATTTAGTTATTAAAAATAAATATAAAGGCTTTTTCAAAATTGTTATTCATGAATTGAAATGTCTGGTTCATCTCAGACTCAGAATCATTTATTTCTTTTCTCCTGAGAATGTGCTCCATTTTCCTGATTCTGCATGTGCCTGATAACCTCGGATTCTATCTGCAGTGTCGTGAATGTGAATGTGAGGAGATTCAGGCCTCTTTAGGTTTCTCTGATGGGCATGGCTTCCTATGTCTCAGCAGGTCATTTCCGGGTAACCTCAGATTACGTCTGCAGTGCTTGGATATGAATGTGAGGAGATTCCGGCCTCGTTAAGTTTCTCTCATGGGCATGGTTTCGTACATCTCAGCAGATGATTGCTGGGTAACCTCGGATTATGTCTGCAGTGAAGTGAATGTGAATGTGAGGAGATTCAGGCCTCATTAGGTTTCTCTGATGCCCATGGCTTCCTATGTCTCAGCAGGTCATTTTCTTGGTTAGTCTGATCTGCAAACTCTACTCCTTGAGAAGCTCTGGTTGTCATCCAGATCATTTCATTTTAGTCGAGATATTTTTGAACTATCCTAGACGTGAATGTTTTAGGAATCACTCGGAGACGTGTGTAGAGAGATTTAGGTGATCCCTCTGTTCTGTTCCTTCTTTTATGGGACCTCGTAGTCTCCCTGCCATTGTTCTCCAGACCTCGCTTTCCTGTGTCCCTGGTCAGAATACTGGAGGGATCGTCGCTCTCTGTCCCCTCACCACTTGTCATGCCACACAGACTACACTTCACTCTGGGCCACAAGCAACACGTTTTTGTAGCTTCTGGTCTTGCTCTCTGCTCTCGGAAAACGTGCAAACCCTCCATCCAGCCTATCTGCTCTTGGCCAGCCGCTGGGGCCTGCAGGCACTCGCTTTTTGTGCTGCGTCCAAGGTTTGCCATGCCTTTCTGCAGGACGGTCTGGTGAGTACTTAATCTATCATACACAGAAGCAAACATTTATCCATGTGGTAGCTCATGTTTTCACTCTTGTGGCATCATTTTGAGACACAGACTTTATTCATTTGAATGTAAGGTATCAATTTTTTGCTTTGCGAATAGTGATTGTTGTGCTCTATTTACCTGATGTACATTATTAAGATTTCCTTCTGCATTTTCCTCTAGAAGGGTCAATGTTTTAACTTTCTCATTTAGAACCACAATTAAGCAGAATTGATTTTTGTATGTGGTGTGAGTTATTGATCAGAACCTCTTGCCAGTGGAAACACTATGAGATCCATTTTGACTTTTGAATTTCCATATAGTTATGTAATTATGCTCAGCATAGTTAACAACATAGAACAAAATCTTAAATAATGCTGGATATAAAATCAATTTCTAAGTTGTATTTATGCTTTGAATTAACTCAAATATCTCTGCAGTAGATACAAGACCCAAAAAATAAGCTGTGACCAATTCATCAGTCTTTAAAGTTCCAAACTATGTTGGACAGTTAAAATGACATCAACAAAAATGTTTTGAGCAAATTAACTAATCTCAGGCAGCTCAATTAAGTGCCTGAAGCCAACCATGTAATTAGAATCCTCTGCTCTTTGCCATTTAGACTACACGTTAAGTACGTTTGAAGTAGTTTTTGTTTTATGAATTAAAATAGAATGATCTTTACTCTTCTCTATTTATGAATGAAGTTCTGGTCATTTACAAACTTAGCGAGTAGTTTATATATGTACTTTCTCTGTATCATAAAAGAAATAAAATGATATAAAATCACAAAATTACCCTGTAATCTGTCACATCTCTTTCATTACTATTTAAGGCATCTTCTGTGTACAAAACAAGAGAGGAAAGGAAAAAGGTAAAAATGAACAATCAAGAAAAGAATTAATGATACAAAATTCAAAAAGAAAGTAATGGTCGATGTGATACAAAGAGTAAACAAAAAACACTTGATTTCTCAAGTAAAATGTTAACTAAATATGTATTATATTTTGAGAAAAAGCTTAGCCTTGTAAAATAATTTTTTCATAGTATTCATTATGCACCTACGATGCAGACTCTTAAATCACCTGTGTTTAATTTAATACTTCCTGTGTGACTCATCCGTCTATCCCCTAACTGGAGTGGTTTTCAAGTGTGATTCATGATGTTAGTTGGCCCGTTAGAAGAAAGAGTCTCATAGACTGACAGTATAAAAAAGGCGCTATAGCGTGGACCCTGCAGGTGGTATTGTGATAGCATTAATTGGATAGTTTATTTGTGTCCATTCTATCTCATAAATATTACATTGATAATCTTATATGTAAAATAATTCAATTCAAAGCATTGTTTTGACAATTTTCACATTTAAACTTTGTTGATACCTGCACACTGTCATGTATCATGAGGTTAGGAGTTTGAGACCAGCCTGAACAACATGGTGACACCCTGTCTCTACTAAAAATACTAAAATTAGCCAGCCATGGTGGCATGCACCTGCAATCCCAGCTACTAAGCAGGCTTAGGAAGGAGAATGGCTTGAACACGGGAGGCAGAGATTGCATGCAGTAAGTCGGGATTGCACTCCAGCCTGGGCCACAGGGAGCAACTCCATCTCAAAAAAAAAAAGAAATGAATAAGATGTCATTTGCTAAAAACAAATTTTGCATTGAGCCTCACATACATTTTTCTTTTTTCCCTTGTATTTGTACTTTTCCCCCCCAATTTAGTTAAGTAAAAGTATGCCATTATGTTTAATTTTACGTGTCAATTTGACTGGGCCATGAGGTGTCCAGATACTTTGTCAAACAGTGTTTCTGTGAGTGTGTTTTGGGATAAGGTTAACATTTTAATTAGTGAACTTTCAGTATAGTGGATTCTTCTTCCTAAAGTGAGTGGGCCTCATTCTCTAAGTTGAAGGCCTGAATAGAACAAAAAGCTTGTTCTCTTGTAAGTAAGGAGAATTATTCCTGTCTGTTTTTGAGCTGGGATCTCGGTTTTTTCCCCCTTCAGACTCAAACGGAAGCATTGGCTTTTCCTAGGTCTTGGGCTTGTTGGCTTCTGGGTGGGGAACTCCATCATCAATTGTCTTTGTTCTCAGGCCTTTGGACTGGGACTGGAACTGACACCATCAGCTTACTAACTACAGCTCTTGAGACTTCCCAGCCTCCATAATAATGGGAGTCAATTCCTGGACCTGCTTCTAGAGAACCCTGATGAATTGAGTACACATGGTAGCTCATCAGGTATAGAGGGGCATTCAATGGAAGGAGAAAT